AATAACCCCATTACACTACAACGTGCAAGAAATTTGCTTCTTATGAGAAGGCTGCAGCTTAGCCGATCACTTTGCTAAATCATTTACTCCCAATGCCACCCCAACTCACCCACTGGCATTCAAACATACTCGAAATAGCATCAGCCGCCCAAACTATAACGTACCACACAAAATCAACTACATATCCCCATTGAAGTCATTAATATAATTAAGAATTTGCAAAAAAAAAAGCCCTGGACACGACAAAATAAGTAACAAAATCTTAAAAAACTTACCTAAACCCACAATAGCATATATCACCAATATTTACAATTCAATAATTAGAACTGGTTACTTCCCCGTTATTTGAAAAAATTCAAATGTAATACCCATCCCCAAGCCATTCAAAAATCTATCCAGAACTGAAAACTACAGGACCCATTAGCCTTCTTCCCACTTTATCAAAAATCCTAGAAAAAACTAATCCTTAAAAAGACTAATTTCCCATCTGAATAAAACTCAAACAATCCCAATGCACAATTTGGCTTCACTAATAAAGTTTCAACTTCTCATCAATTATTAAGATCACGAGCACATACACACGCATTTCAAAAAAAGAGCATACAATAGTTACCTTTTTAGACATTTTCTAAAGCTTTTGACAAAGTGTGGTATCCTGGATTATATTGCAAACTTAAAGAAATAGTGTACCCCTAACTATTAATTAATACCATTAATAGCTTTCTCCAAGATAGAACATTTTCAGTCACAGTTAATAATCACACATCCAATCCCCGCAGAATTATAGCTGGATTACCTCAAGGCTCACCACTGTCCCCCACGCTTTTCAACATATACACAGCCGACATTCCCATAACATCACACACGCACATCGCCCAATTCGCCGATGACACCGCAATTTTCATGTCTAATCATTCAACTAATCAAATCTGTAAACAAATTCAAACACATTTAAATAAAATTGATGAATGGTCTGTCAAATGGAAAATCAAACTAAATCCTACAAAATCATGCGCCAAAGTATTCTCATTAAGAACATTTTCAACCCCAACACCACTCCGAATAAACAATACCCAATTCCATGGATCTCACCACAATGAATCTGTTAAATACCTAGGTCTGAATCTTGATACCAGACTAAATTGGAAAAATCAGCATAACAGTAAAAGCACAGCAAGCCAAAATAAAATTAATTCAACTAAAGGCCACTCTGTAAATCGCAATAGTAAGCTCTCATTAAACAATGCCATCACCATCTATAAATCAATAATTAGACCCCTAATGCTTTATGCATGCCCTATCTGGATCAATGCCTCAAAAAACTAATATTAATAAATTACGATCATCCAAAATAATTTCCTCAGACTTGCCACTCATCGCACCCTGGTTCATCTCAAACATTCAACTGCATAAAGAATTTAATTTACCTCCTATACTTTACCATATCGCGCTCCGTATCTAACAATTTCTTCTCCAAAATAAACACATAACCCAAGCCACCCACTACGCGCTAGCCACCACCTACCAGCTCTCAACAAGAATAAAAAATAGATATCCATTAGATTCATTCCTCAGCATATTTTCAGAAGTCAATTAATCACATAGGTGCTCTGTGAGTTTCATATTCATGTGTAGTTCGATTTAGTTGTAAGATTAGCATTTAAGTTAAATATAAGTCATAAAAAAAATACATATGATGTAGTATAAATAATACTGAACTATGTATATTCGTTCACTAATAAAGATATATTATCAAAAAAATAAAAAAAAGGATTCTTGATAAAATCATGCTTATCTTTCATTTACATGGAAATAACGCAAAGAAAAAATATGACGTCATAAACATCCGGGCGCTACTAATAAGACATCTTCAAACAGATTATCTGTTACATGTATTTAAAAAAGTATAATTACTAAAATTTGTATTAAAATAATTTATTACTCTTAATATGAATAATAAATGATGATGATGACGATGATGATGAAATAGATACACAAACACACAGACACACTATTATTGTTATTATTATTATTATTATTATTATTATTATTATTATTATTATTTGTTTGTTTGCTTTTGTTTTTCGAATCGGCCATCATGGAGTCGTGCGATACGTGCATCCGACCGGGGCTCAGTCATGATGACCTGCGTTAGTGCACGTTACTTCCTATTGGGGGACACCCCACTTACACTCCAAGGTTTGAGGGATGGGTTGAAATGATGATGACGATGATGATGAAATAGATACACAAACACACAGACGCATTATTATTGTTATTTATATTATTATTATTATTATTATTATTATTATTATTATTATTATTATTATTATTATTATTATCACCATCTTTGGTTATACTTATCCCCGAGAGATTAATGCGTTTTTATTATGAGGATCATATTTTAAAGTTGAATACATTGATTAAACAATGTTAACCTTAAGTAATGAATTATGAGATAATAGGATGATGATAATCGGGGATGAAGAGGCAACTACTTATATGTCTATGCCTACGCAGGATTCGAACCTGTAGCGACCTCAGCGCAGACGACGGCTGCCGCAACCCTCTGCCCCCGGAAAACAGCTGCTATTATTGTTATTTTTCTTAGTATATTATTGTTATTACTGTTAGTATTGTTATTATTGCTAACATTGTTACTAGCGGAACCAGGCAGACGTTATTCTGCCCTTCGTCTCCCCCCCCCCTCTCTCTCTCTCTCTCTCTCTCTCTCTCTCTCTCTCTCACACACACACACGCACGCACGCACGCGCGCGCGCGCTCTCCCTCTCGTTCTATCTCTTCCTGCCTGCCTGCCTGTCTGTCTGTCTGTCTGCCTGCCCCACTCATACACATTTAGTTGCAGATTCTGCACCGAGCAGGTGGGGTAATATCGCGAACTGCCGGAGCAGCAAAAATGTAATAGAATGTTCAAGGCGATCTCATTCTTCAGATTACGGTGCGAGAAATATTGGTGTTTTTTAATGCTATAGAACGCTTCTTTTAGGAGTTATTTAATCAAACACATTAAAAAAAATATTGCGGTAAATTGCGGGTTGCATTTGACATGAATATTTAGTTTTGTTATTTTTTCGTGATTTTTTCCGATATTTTAATAGTTGTTACGCTATTCTGGGCGGAGATGAATCCAATAAATCAGAGATAATTAAAAATGGTTTCCATCCGTTCGTGAGGTATAAATGGTGTAACTAACCCAATTTTGTTTTATGCATATAGATTGTTATTATTACTATTCTTACTGTTATTGTTCGTCATTGTTGTTAGTGTTATTATTACTACTATTGTTGTTGTTGTTACGAATAATGATGTCAGGGTAATTAAGACCGGAGTTGTTTATGATCGTAACACGTTAACTTATTTTCGATTTTGACGTCTTAAATATAAAACTAAGATAAAATTGCTTTGCGTTTTAAATTCCGAATGACATTGCCCAAGTATTGCCCAGAAGCGTTCAATGCCGCAAATTTTGTGTTCTATCCTATATTTTAAAATATTTCAATGGCAAACCTCATAGGTTTATATAATTAATGCCATCTTGATTCAATGGCAAGGAAAATATTGGTTCGAATTTTCGCGCGTTTGGATCTTGAAGTTCTGAGAATTGGTAAGTTCATTGAAATACATTTTAATAACAACGAAAAGTATAAAGAATTTGAAAATTGTATATTAGTAATGTCTTTTTGTTAATATATCTCTTCGGATATTCTTCGCAGTGTACTCTGCCCAATTCGGAAGCATCAGGTCGTCTCCCTGCATTTCTTTATTCTATGATCCGGAATGGAGAATAATATAAATTGGACGTTCTGAGTGTTTCAGCTTCTGTAGGATTGTCTGATTCTGGTATACGCCCACAGTTTGACAGATGTCGTCGAGTAATTATTCTATCAGCTTCTCGATTCCTGCGAACTCGTAAAATGCTTCTGCGTGGATATTAGTGATCTGAATTTGTAATGTTCGAAACTCCTGGGGAGAGTCACTTGAAATGTGCAGGACTACCAAGATTACTCGAAACTTATATTGACAGAAATGAATTGAACATTGTTGAGGCGGGGTAAGGAATTTACCCGAATAATTTCAATGCACAGTAATTCCTCTAGTGCTGTGAAACATTTTTCATTTGAATGTTTTTACAGACAGCTTGAAATATATGATTTAATTAACTTTAAAGAAAATGGAATGAAAGGTTAAGTTTGCATATTAAGCTTCAGTTGTGTGTATTAGTTGCAGGAGTATAGCAGCGTGATGTCAGGAGGGGACCGTAAGAAGCGCACTTCAAGAGGACAAGGGTGGGAAGAAGCAGGTGCTGAATTTTATCAGGAGAGCTATCCTGCAGATGTAGATCTTGATGTTTTGCAACGTGATCCATCTCATTTGGCTACTCTCCTGCCCAGTAAACAGTCTCGAGCAGGTGGGGGCAAAAAATTGTTGTTTCATTTACAAGTTTATTTCAAACTGTATGATGATACAACCAGGAACAGACCTTTCATTATGCAGTACATTATGATAATGATCTTTGAGAAACAAATGAAAGTTTGTGTGCTTACATTTCTGTTGGTCTGTTTTACCTTATGGTAACATTTTCATTTGAGAATTATTTAATTAATATTTAATTTATAGCTGTATCTATTTGTAGATATTGTAAACATATCAATTCCAAGTACTGTGTCTAGATAGTCTGTCAATCAGCTATTCACTGTGAAATAGTTATTTATGACTAAAAAGGGTTGTCATAAATTACCAGGTAGCAAAGGTAGGGTTAATTTATATTGCAATTTATTTTTGGAGATTTCTTGGTTGGAATTTTGCCAATTGTTCTGTAAATTTTGATTAAGGAACAGTATTTTAATTTTGAACTCTTTCGTTACAAAATATTCATGTTGCTCAGAAAGAAATTTTGCCTTTTCTGATGATGCAGCAGACTTGGCAAATGAGTGTTTGCACCTCTAAAAATCCAAAATGGAAATGATCAAAAATTAATTTACAATTGTTGAAAGTATTGTTTCTATAAATTCTTCCAAACTTTAAGCCCTCTTCCCCAGCTCACGTGAAATTTGAGAGGTTTGATATTAAAGGAAATTGAAAGTATAATGAACTGGGATTGCTGTAATACCATGGTAAAAAGTAGTTTATCTTGATATTAAAGGGAATGTTTAGAAACATTTATTTTAAAAGTATTTAAGATTCACAATTAAGAAATAAAAGTTGATTACATTTTTTAATATTGAGATATAATTTTAAATAAAGAAGTTAGGATTAAGATTGTACACACAAATTTAGGGTGTAAAATTTTAAGTGAATTTTGCTTGGGGTGTAAACTGTTGGACTTCAGATTGAAGCAAATGAAAAACTTCACATAGTTGGTTTCTGAGATAACCTATCCCTAGTTTTGTAGTGTGGGCTGTCGTATTGATTATTGGCTTTTGATAAAGAGGTAATGAGTTGATAAACTTTCTTTCTTTGAAACATTCAGTTCAGAGTTGATGTGTTGACAATACAAATGCTATTGAAAATACTTGTTCCTGGTGCAACTGTTCAATATAATTACAGACATCATTGTTATTTGTCTATGGCAGAGTATGGTAAAGTAAACTTTTGAAAATTCAACACTTTAATAAAGAAATTTATGTATTTTAATTTTTTTTCATCCATGACATTACTCACGTCCCATTTCTTTGAAAACAATATTAAGAAATGACGTTAAACACAATATCACACCTAAGTATATCATAATTAGTAAAGGGAAGTTTATTTATACAAGCCTTTAGTCATATAATATGCAGGCAAATATATCACAAAATTGTTGACATATGCAACAAAATGTTTAAAATATGCAGCATTTGGTAACTAAAACATAATTTGCAATTTTATTTACATTTTAACCACCTAAAGAAAGAGGGAATGTGCAAATTAAAAACAGATAATCATTTGCACATTTTATTTTGCATAAAGAACACAGAATTTAAGATTTTCTTTTCTGTCTTATTGTGTATCAGACAGAATCTTGTATTTCAAAAGGCTTTTCTATATCTCATGAAGTGATTGCAATATATATGGATTTTGATGTGATTGTGCTATATTTTCTGAAATACAAGTGCAGAGTGAATTTATTTTCTCGTTTGAGAAGAATTTTTCCATTTCATCACTTTCTCCTTCTGTATTTACTTGATATTGCTAAATTTTATTTCAGTAGCCCTGACATTCAGTAATCTAAAATTGTAGTTTAAGCCTGTATGATTCTCCAAGAATTTTTATTGTGTATTAAATACTTTATAATTAAAAATAAATATTTGTGTTGTTTTTGTGAAAAAAAATTAAAAATGAATGCCGAAAACTCCTCGCAACTATGTAGATTTAAATTTTGTTAAGAAATGCACAGAATTTGAAGTTTTAGGGAAATAAGGTTATTAACAAAAAATTCTGCATAAACGTGCCAGGTTAAACACATGCTATTTTCTTTTTTATTTGAGAGCATAGACTTCCGTGGTCAAAGACTAACTACTTGGCTCTTTGGGAGATGCTGTGTCCAGGCACAGGTGCACAGAAATTAATTTTGCCCTGGGGAAGGTTGCAGAATGCTGGTTGAAACTTTGACACCTATGCCTAGGATGTTAAATCTGTCAAACCAAGTAGTTAATTTCTTTTCCATTTGTTTCAGTGTATTATCATTATATACAACTCACTCTGCAATTTTTTGAAATATTTTTTAAAATTCTTTTCTTTTCCATTGAGGAAATTTTATTTTTATTTTAAAATGTAATGCAGACAATTTTCAGGATTCAGAAATACTTTAATCAATTTTTGCCTACACTATGTTTACAGATGCATAAAATTTGTGAATAAGATGTTCTTTTATGGTTAAAAAATTTGAGCTATGAAAAGACCTACTTATAGAATTGATTATAACTTTCCAAAGAAGTAGATTTAGTTCTCTGTTTGGACCTCTGCTTGTTTCCTTCTGTTGATGTGAACAATTAATATTGTTAAAATTTTTGTATTATTTATTTGTGGTACAGTGTTTCTTGAATATTTCCATTAATAGAACATTTAATATTCTGTATATCTTGTGCATTTTGTATCTCTAAAATTGTACATTTCTTAATGCCTTTGTGATATTGTGTTTGTCTTATAATATATGGCAAATAAATGTATTATATTTGTAATGCCTTTTGTAAAAATATATAAATATATATTCAGAATGAATTAATTTTGTATCAGATTCTGCATTATGAAAATAAGTCTATTAATGTCCCTTGCCATTGCAATCTGCAGCCACTGCGAAACGTGTGAGGGGTGAAGTGAAACCTACTCTGCGTCGTCGCACATCAACCCGATCACGATACCACAGCACAAGTCGCCGGGCCTCCACTACAGCAGATGTGCATGTAGCCATGCTGCCTGATCTGTCAGGTAAGAAGCTGTTGTGGATTAGGTCTACCCAAGTTATAAATTGACGCATTTACATGCTTGTTAATAAATAACTTTTTAGATTGTGTGTGTGTGTATATATATATATATATATATACAATTAATATTCAATTAATTTTATTTATATATTAATGAGCAATATCCTATTAAAAAATTATTGTAATACATTAAAGGAGGGGTTTCTTTAACAACTATTTTTCTACACTTTACTATAAACTCTGAAAGAATTGCTACAATTTCAGAGGGGGAATTTAATATTAATATCATTTCTGAAGACCTGAAGATACAATTAAGATTTCTTTAGAGCAGGATGTAATTTCATCACTGTATAGAACAACTCAGTGATGTAGTTCTTTCTTTTTTGTTTTAAGGCTGAAAATTATATGTTATTCTTCCTTAAGGTTTTCCTTAAAGAACCTTCAGTTGAAAAAGAAATGAAAAACCTTGTAATGTCACAAAAATTATCATGTTATTGAATGCTTAATAATTAACTTTGTACTTTCAGAAAATTTATCAAATGAAGAGCGAACATGGGAAGAAATAATGCAGATAAAAGCTATGCCTGTGAGCATGGCTCAGAAGAAAGAACTGAAAGCAAAGTTGCAGGTTTGTGTTGTTACTGTGATATAGTTGAAATATATTGTCTTATTTGTTTCTACATAAAACTTTCTTTGCTCACTTTTCCAGAGTGCAACAAAATTGAGACTACAAGGATTTGAACAGTTCAAGTGGCAGAGGAGAAAATTTTGGCAACAAGTTAAAAGTCGTTGGAAAGAAACATATACGAAATTGGAACTTTGGCGCACAAGTTTGAAAAAAATTGAAGGAAATTTTGGAATAGGAGTAGTTGCATATTTTCTATTTATAAAATGGCTCATGTTTCTTAATCTTACCATTTTTGTGTTTATATTTACTTTCATAATTTTACCAACAATACTTCTTGACACTCCTGATACTACATGCTCCAGTAACTCTTCAAATATTACAAATGAGTGTCAGTACAGTTGTGAAAATATAACAGAAAAAAATCATGATGTAATTCTTGATACCATTCAAGGGACAGGCTGGATGGAAAATACTTTGGTGTTTTATGGCTTTTATGCTGACAAAATTTTTGGGGTAGGCTCAGATGCTGCTTTTTATTATAATTTACCATTGGCATATATTGCAGTTGCTGTTGTTTACTTTCTTGTTAGTTTGGGAGCAATTGTGAAAGCTGCAGCGCGAGGATTCAAAGAACGCCTTGTTGAAGGAGAGGGACAGTTTTATCAGTATTGTAATTTGATTTTTGGTGGTTGGGACTACTGTATTCACAATGAAAAGGCTGCAGTAATAAAACATAAAGCACTCTATAATGAAATTAAAGGATGTTTGGAAGCTGAAAGGCTTGAAGAAGAGCGACAAAGTCGTTCAAAAGAGGAGAAAACAAAACTAGTCATTACAAGATGTATAGTCAACTTAATAGTAATAGTTGTTCTTGCAGCTGGAGGATTTTTAATATTTGAGACACTTGAATATTCAAAACAACAATTAGATGGACTGAAAGGAGAGGACACACACATTGATTCTTTAAATGTTCTTTTATTTGAATATCTCCCATCAATTGCAATTGTAGGATTGAATCTGCTTGTGCCAAGTCTATTTGCCTATTTAGTTACACTTGAGCATTACAGTCCAATTTTTGTAGTAAGAATAACTTTGCTGAGAACAGTCCTCCTGCGGCTAGCCTCACTAGTAGTGCTCCTTCAGTCATTTTACCACAGAATTTTTGTAGATCTTTCTCTGCCTTGCTGGGAGACTTACGTAGGCCAACAGCTGTACAAGTTAGTCATTTTAGACTTTGTGACACATATTGCTGTAACTTTCCTGATAAATTTCCCACGAATGTTAATTGCAAAACATTCCAAAAGCAAAGTTGCCAAATACATTGGGGAGCAAGAATTTGATTTACCTAAGCATGTGTTAGATGTAGTTTATACCCAAACACTTTGTTGGCTTGGGAGTTTCTATGCTCCTATTCTGCCTGCAATGGGAACTCTGGAGTGTTTCTTTCTCTTTTATATAAAAAAATTTGCATGTCTGGTTAACAGTACTCCATCTTCTACAGTATACAGAGCATCTCGATCTAACTCCTTATTTATGGCTGTCCTATTATTTTCTTTTCTCCTTGCTGTAATTCCTGTTGCATATTCTCTAGCAGAAAGCATTCCCTCCAAGTGTTGTGGACCTTTCACTTCACAAAATACAGCTTGGGGCATTGTTGTTTTCACATTCAATCAGTTTCCTTCTTGGATTCAATCTATTATTTATTTTTTTTCCACTGCTGGATTTGCAGTTCCAGCATTTATTACTTTGAGCTTATGTTTGTATTATTTTTATGCTATTTCTGCTGCCAACAAACAAATGGTCCAAGTTTTAAAGAATCAGCTGGTGTTGGAAGGTCATGATAAACAGTTTCTTTTGAACAGACTTAGTGCATTCATAAAACAGCAACAACAGGAGCATCAAAAAGCCATGCGTCAGATGGAGATGTCAAGTGTTGCAGGTATGTCCAATGGCAGTTAGATTTATGTACTTCTTGGTTGTGTATTCAAGAAATGAAAGGTCAATCATTTTTACTAAATTTTATATCAATTTAAAGAATTTTATATCCTTTTGACTGATTTTTGATAACACTGGATTGAAAACAATACTTCCCAAGCAACATCAGCTCTTACTTTGTCAAAAATCATTGCAATGTTGGTGTACTCTGTGGACATTGAATAAAATTTTTGCCAGAAACTGAAAATTTCAACTTTGCAACATTGGAATGCTCATAAAATTGCAAGTTCCTGATCATGAACTAGGTATGTAGCCAAAGCATGCTTCTGAGAATTGGCTGTGAAGTATTGTGCTTACAAAAGTTTTCCAAGGACAACTTGGATTGCCATTGTACACGAGTGCTGTTATGTGATGTAATACTTGATGTATTGAAAGTAGCAAATAGATGAATACATAATCTTCAACAATGATGTATATCAAGTAAAATTTTAGTTTGGTCCGTGTATATATTTTGCGATTTCATATTTAAAAGTGGTTCACAATGTTTCACATTCACTTTGTTTGAATACACAATTAAGAAAATCACAATCTCAAATAATTTTTGTTCCATTTGTTTCTTTTGTGAACAGTAACATTAACAATATACTTTATTGCTTGTACAAGGAATAATAAATCTGTTCCTCAGATTTTTGAGTATTAAAAACCCGTAAGCAATGAGTATATTGACGTTTATTACTGCATTGTGCAATAATGCATAACTCAGAATTCTTAAAACATTTATGTGGCTCAACAGTGTATATATTTAAGTTGAGTAATGTGTGATGAAATTATACTGTATTACTTCTAGTCATTATGTGATTGTGTTATTGTCAAGTGTTGTAACAAACAGATACAGATGTTAAGACTGTTGTGCTTCCATTATTTTGTTGATATTTACATAAATATAACTCAATTTGTCTTTTGTAGCTTATGTGTTATTTGGTGACTTTCAAAAATCATTCTTTAACCAAAATTTGATATTCTAAATATTCAGTTGCAAAATCTATGTGGATAAATGCATGAGCATAACTTGGAAATTGTATCAAGAAAAAATTTCTCATTTAAAGTAAAAAGTAGATTATAGTATTCATAATTTGAGTTTGTTCTGAAAATAAATTTATCTTTTGAAAGTTACTTTCATTTTAATTTGAAAATAGTAGTATAAGTAGTTTTTGCAGTGTAAAACAAATTTTTTTAAAAAAATTTTAGTAATTTCCGTTTATAGAAATGTTGATTTGGAAAATTAATTCATTTGCAAAATATACAATGATACTTTATGAATAATTACATACATTAAAATAGTACAGACCAATAGTACAAAATACTTATAGGCAAGAATCTGTTACTAATGTTAATTTATTATAACCTTCCAAAAAGAAATTCTTTTGAAGATTATATGCATTCTCCTGAAAATATATTGTTCCTTCCTTCATTGAAATGACTTTTTAAATTGCACATTTGGCATTGGGAGATTGTGTATAGTCCTGAACTTTTTACTCTTTTTAAACGTACTTTTAATGTTTGTTTTATTCTGGTGATGTGTCAAACCAGTAAATTTATGTTTGATAGAATCTAATTTGACTTGAGATTTGTAGTATGTAGTCTGTAAGATACAAAACAAGCATGAGTTTTCTTTTGAAAGCAAGTGCACATTATTTTTCTGTATTCTGAATCTCTATAGTTGGATCCCTTCACTCGAATATGTTTACTTTATATCATTTTTAAGAGTGGATTCATTATATGTTCATTGCAATTTTAATTACATATCATGTATTGAAATCAAAGTTTTACAAAACTCAAAAAAATGTAAATTTTGTTTTATGTATTTTGTTGTACCAGTACGGACTATTTGTAGATGTTTCAGAAATGTTTGTATTTCAGTAGTTATATTGAATACAACTGTATATTGTAAATTTGCTACTGTGTAAATTATATAGGTTTTCTCCTGTAAGTAGTAAAAAGAATTAAACCTATAGTACACATTTAAAATATACCTGAATGAATAGCAAGTGGTGGTCTGTGTTGACTCCTTGGAAGTTGATAGTGAACTAACAATGATTTGTCCAAATAAGATATTCCAACAATATTTTCTCCCTCATTCATGAACCATCTCAAAATCAAATGAATTTAAACTACCTTCTTTAATTTGACATGAATGGCTACATTACATGTCAACTTTTTCAGAAGCAAAACTTTAGAAGTAACAGGCAAAATTATTTCTTGCAAGTTTATTTTAAATAAAATTCACACAAAACTGCTTGCTTTTTAATAACTGAATAATTCATAATCCATTGATACGGACATGTACATAAAACCCTAGGAGTTTTAGTGCAAAAAATAATAATAATTTGTCAAAATGGTTTATTGACTCACGTTTCATTTGTTCTTCTACATACTCAACACATACAGTACACTTCACTTCTAGGTCTTCAATAAACAGAAATACGCATTAAATTAAAAAAAATAATTATATATATATATAGATGGTCCAAAAACACAACAAAGCTACCTATACATTTTTTCTGGCACACAAACCCCTGATACTCTGTCACACAGTTAAGCATAGAAAATTGTAAGCAGATGTTTTTATCATCGTCTGTCTCGGTATCGCCTTTCACGATCACGATCTCTTCGTTCTGTTGTTCTGCGAAGAAATTCTTCAACTGATCGATCATAGGATCTTTTGTCGGATCGACTAGATCTCAAATTCCCATAATCCGGCAATGGGGGTCCATCGTAATACCTGGGGGGAGGAGGAGGGGGGAGAGAATCAACAAATGGTGGCAATGGAGGATAAGGCATGGGAGCTAAGGGAGGTCCTCCACGAGGATAAAAGTCACGCATGAAATCTGAATAATTCTGGTGAACTCCATGATACCCTCGATCACGACTCACTGAATATCTTCCAGGGGATCTGTCTCGCCGATGTTCCTTGAAGTAGGATGATGCATACATTGAAGGGCCTCTACTTCGCTTTGGTCGAGGATCATAACTATCATCAAGGTGCCGGCGCCTACCCCGCCCTCCAGCACTGTGGCCATGTCCTCTTCCAGAGGTAGTCAGTGGCCGGTGAAGAGGGCGACTATGTGGTCGAAGTCGCATAGTGCGAGATGCTTCTTTTGATTTCCGTAAAATGGGGTTCATGTCTATTCCTTCATCCATTGGAAATAATCTACACAGTTCCTCGGCAACTCTAGGTTCAATTTCCTGTCCATCTCTTCCTATTTTAACTGGTTTCCCTTCATTCCACGGGTTATATAAATGCTGTGTTTTAGAAAACGCCAATTCTTTCCTACATACCCAGTCAACTTTAAAGACACCACCCAGAGCATTTGCAGACAGACCATGAGGTAGGACCCATGAAATAGGAGGCACATCTCGGCGTGATTCACATTCTAAACGAGCAAATCCTGCAAATTTTCCGCTCTCTTTTACAGAGTAAATGAGTAAAACATTTCGAGATTCACGGAATGCTTGATTAAGTTTTGCTTCATTCTGGGGAGGAGTTGACCACACTCCTTTTGCTTTAGACAAGGTTACATTTTCTGCGTTGTTGCTTTTGATAACAAAAAATCGAGCGTCTCGAAATAAATAATTCAACTTTGTGATATAGTCATATGATTTTGCTTTTCTTCCAGCTTTCGATCTCTTTGAACTATGACTATGAACAGGACTTCTGCATTCTCTTGAGGTTTTCACTTTTCTTTTACCTGTTGCTTCTCCTTTGTCTTCGGGTTCCCCAGGAGATTCATGTTCTGTATCTGAACTGCTAGAGCTCATGCTATTCATACTAGAATCTCCCTCTGAAGATGAGGAAGTCACTTCACTTCTGGTATCATATTCCTGCAAGTCATCACATTCCTTCAGTTCATCACTCATATTGTTTTCTTCCATGAGTTGTAAATTTATATCTTCTGAACTACTAGCTATTTTATTCTCTCCATCAATTTTCCCTATGTTCTGAGAATCAATTTTATCTTCACTTTCTTCCTTTATGGGAAACTTATCAACCGTCAAACCCTCATCTGTTTCTTCTTTTTCTTGGGTGGTTTCAGTCGTTTGAGACAGGGCCAATTTTTCCTCTTCTTCCTCCTCTTCCTCTTCTGTAACAATTTTATTTCCATGTTTCTCAATTTCAGGGGACTCATTCCCTTCACTCTCAATTTTCTGTAATTGTTGTCCCTCCTTTTCTTTCTTCAGATTTGAATCTTTATCAGACGTTTTACATTTGCCGTCTTTGTTTTCTTTACATTCCTCAAGTTGCTCTTCTGAACCCATTTCTTCTTTGGCCAGATATTCATATACATCTTGAGAATTTCCCAAAATCTCATCAAGAATATTCACTTCATTTAAATGCTTTGAAATCGACATTGTTTCACTTTTGTGTGTCCTGTTATCAATGTTCTGATCTATTTTTGAAAATAGTTATGCACAATTTCACCAATTCACAGACTTAATTGTTCCAAAATAGAGAATATCAACCTCCAGTTATTGTACCCACAATTGGCTAATAGGATACTTATAAGTTACCCCACAAGAGCAAATATAACCAGTTATTTTCAATGTGATGATACAGTATCAATAAACCACTAACAAAGCCACTTTCTTCATACGAACAATGCTGATGAGGTATATCAAAGCAACCTCCTCTGCAGATTGTAAGTCACACCGTGAAGTTACTCATCTTGAACTGGAGAATGCAACTGAAATAAAAAACACAATAAATGTAGGAATTAGAAATATTAAATTTTGTATTTCTAATTTTTAATACATTACAAGCCATGTTTCAGCAACAAGAGCAAAAGGTTTTTGTTTTTATTTAGAAAATTTCATCTCCCTACAACACATGTCAGCACTATGTTGACAAAATGTAATAAATCAGCATTATATTAAGTAAAATTTACAAGATTACTAATCACTTGATTCATGACGTGCAGAGTATGGACATTTAGTTTTTGTTTCGAAGATTCACAACTTACAGCTTCTGCTATGTCAATCCAATCCATGGCAGCTATAAAAGCATCATCATGATTTGGAATTTTATCCCAGTTCCAATAAGTGATAGATTTAAAAGTGTTAACAACGTGCAAGTTTCTGTCAGCATCTTCTGTCAGTGGCTTTACTCTTTCTTGTAACACAATCCCTTTGTAATTAGTAGGCAGATTTATCTCTTTTCCATTTAAAGGATGTCCCCGAAAAGAAACAGTTAGGCCTGCAAACATTAAATACAAGCATTATCAAATTTTCTTTCACATTTCAAAAAGTTAGGCTATGAAACACGCATGCAACGATACTTGAAACACTGCCCACGACATTGACAAGAACCTTTGGGAAAAAAACAATGTTGCAGTAAGAAGATTCAAGCATTACACTACAAAAAGGAAATACTTGACACCAAGCATTATTTAGAATAAGAAAATAAATTAAATATTCTCCACAGCTCACTACAACAATGTAGAAGAGACATATTCACACACATTCGCGACAGTCAGGGCAGGCGATGATAAACTTACCTGTGCTTCCACTTTTAACACAAGGCTGTAAATACTTCGAAACGGTGGCATTCCCATCAAAATTAATTTTACACGGCATGTAATGCACATTACTCTCCGATTTGAACGCATTAGAATTACATTTAACATGAATAACCATGTTGTTTACAAAGTCCCGCGCACGGTATGAGCATCCATGATTGCATTGTCAAGTCAGCCAACATCAGCCAATATAACAAACAGTAAATCGTTTTTTCCAATTTACTATTATTAATAGTTCGATTAATTTTATTAATCAATCTATATTTATTTTCGCTTGCTAATTGTTCCTAAGCTGCTTTGACCTCATTTACAATACTCAAATAAATATGGGCAATTTTAAAAATGTGTTTTGTGTGCGAAATGTTTCATATTTTATTTTCGAACGATTTTATTTATTTATTATCAGTGCATGATTTAATGTAAGTTCATATATCTAAATCTAGGAAAATGTTACTATCAATGTGACATCACGCAGGTGCCTCTTGTAATCGTCACAATTTCCGTCTTCCGTCATCAAAGCGAAAAAGGAGGGGGATAATTGCGCAGTTCAGCCTCAGCTGTTTGTCACGTGATGTTTTTACGCCGCAGCTGTTGTCAAGAACAACAACAAAGAAAATGGCTGATCCGGAGGCTGCATCGTCGAGCAGCGAGCCTTCAGAAATTCAAGAAAATGACGAAAAAACGGAAGAATTTGGCGAACCCGAGAAAAAACGACAAAAGCTAATGAAATTGGGAGACGGAAAAGCTGACAAATTGGAGCATAGGTTGGGAGGTATTTTATGTTGTGCCGTTTGTTTGGATCTACCTCGAGCAGCTGTCTACCAGTGTACCAATGGTCATTTGATGTGTGCTGGATGCTTTACACATTTGCTGGCTGATGCGCGATTGAGGGATGAAATTGCTACATGTCCGAATTGTAGGATCGAAATAAGTAAAACTTCAGCATCAAGAAATTTGGCAGTTGAAAAAGCCGTGAGTGAGTTGCCATCGGAATGCCAGTTCTGTGGCAAGGAGTTTCCGAGAAACACTTTGGAGCGGCACGAAGAAGTGCTGTGCGATGAAAGAATCGCCAATTGTAAGTACAGTCGGATAGGGTGCCCGTGGCGCGGCCCGTTCCACGAAGGCGGCGAACACGAGAAGGTTTGCGCCCACCCGCACCGCTCGGGTGCTGAGGTCATGGACGCGTTACAGGTTATCGATCTTAAATCCATCGAAGAAAAAAGACTGTACGATTGTGTTTTTGAACTTCTGTCGTATGAGAAAATTACTTTTAATGATCTACAGATGAAGCCTTATCGCACAGATGAATTTGTCCATAAGCTTTTCTACGAAACCAGTAGATTTAGCGCTTTTAATAATCAATGGGTAGTTAAAGCAAGAATTAATAATAGTCAGAGAGATCCAACTCAAAGCTCTGAAAGAGATATGACCTATCAGTTAATTTTGAAAACCAAGACAACTTTCCCTTTGAATCTTCATTACTTGATACTACGAGGTCCATTTGGTGATATGAAGGTTGATCCAAAGATATACAAATTTGAGTTTACTGATCAGGAAAATGAAAGCCCATATGTCTGCCTTCCTCTGCCTGATACAGCAGAATGCAACAGACTTTTGGCAGCTAAGGCAATTAATTTCCGGTTGATCATGTTTCTCATGTCAAAATAAGTTATCAAAATTAAATGTAGAGCTTCATAGCATTAGAATATCTTATTTAATCAATCATTTTGGCTTTACATGATTCTAGAAGAATCTAGGAAATAAAAACAAGCTTACTAAACTGGATAATTACTTTTTTTGACTCTATTGTAACTGTCAACCATAACTTAAGGGATGGAAACTTAATGAGGAAGTTGTGGGATCATTTATCATGTGACTATTTTTTGTCAATTGTGTTGTTTCTCTATTATTGAAAATTCGCTTTGTTTAGGAATATAGAATGCAGAGGTCATAATAGGACAGAATGTTGCCTACTGTGTTCTACTCTGAGCTTTAAGTACCAGTGCTTACAATGAAATTACCTATATATATTTTACAAGAAAAAAGTATCTTCTATTTTCCTTTGTAATGCAAGATAATGAAATCATAAAAATTATATAGAATTGTGCTAATATAGTAGTACTTATGCAGTTTATGGTAGGATAAATTTCAGAAAAAAATTAATGTCAATTTTTGTGTAGGACAGGTCTTTCCTGTAAAATTGTTTGGACATAGCTTTATGGACTGAGTTTCTTTTATCCACTTTAAAGTAGATCTGAAACTTTATTCACTGTGTGATAAGATTGCATATTATCTTTGAATTTAATTACATTATTATTTCACTGTGTTTTTTGTTTCCGGTGGGACAGAGAAAATTTCATTGATTGCACATTGGAGTTTGGTGCTTTAATATTAGGATTTTTTATTTTCTCTTATTTATCTGATAGTACTGTAATTTTTGTTTAAGAGGTTTCTAAATTGCCTTATGAATTTTATATTTTTGTTTACTTTATAATATATTTGTGAAGAAATTAGAGATTTATACTACAGTGTTTCATAATGACATATTTATTATAAAATGATATGTAATATATCTCGTAATACTTTTCTCAAATAATATAATACCAATGGATATATGTTGTACAACATAATATGCATTTGTGATTTTTGTTTGATATACTTACCAAAATGTATATTGTATATTTACATGTTAACAAAAAAGGAAAAATAAAGCTTGTTATGTGCTCAATTATGTTTTTGGCATTTCTTTTCTTTCATAAATGCCCATGTACAATTGTTAAAAATGACAGGAGATGGAAGAACAGTCCATAGTAATGCTCCATAAAAATATTTCATTGTTCATTCCTTAAGAAAATATTAGTAAAAATTTGGCATGAATTTAGTTTACTTGTTAAGGTAGTTTCGTCAAATCTTTAAAAACGCTTATTTAATTTGCATTTCAAAACCATGGTATCTTCAATTTTTCTAAAGCCAATTAAAACCTGTTTGTCAATTTGTATGAGCTTGATCCAATGAAACATACTGCTGCAATATAAAAACAGAACATTGTGATGTTAAAATAATTCACGATATCGTTCTTCGTACAATTAGTTTTGGTTATTTGATATGGATTCATTCACTAGAATGTTTTCAGTCATTTGAATAGGAGGTTCGAAAAATTGCACATAAAATATAAGTCGATTGTGCAGCCCTTATCAGTCTGGTAAAGTGCGTGGTCGTCGCACCGCCTGTCAGAGGTGCACGCCGCACACGTATGATCTGCATATAGCTGACGTGAACTGGCGCCGTTATGATCTGGTGGCACTGCAGCATGGAAGAATAGACGCGGTGACGATCCTCGTCCGCGTGGCTTCTTGGTGGGGCAAAGTCGTAGAGCTGTCACGCCTGGACATATTGTATTTCAATTTTTTAGAATTGGTGTGAAATTATCGATATTAGGTACGACGAATAGATGTACAGTTACGTGTGAGTTGTGTGGCTTTCACCGGTTCCGCGCGACAGGGTGCCCTATTTCAATGGTGGATAATAGTTGGCGTGCTTTTCTCTTCTAGATGAGCGATACACTGGGCGCACCGTAGCTTCTTCTCTCAAGAATGCCCAACGATATTTTACACTAGCAAAATTAAGGACGAATCTCTGTTTTGTTGATCATGTCCATCATAATTCGTTTTCAACTTGTTTTACTTTTAACCTATTTTGTGGTATCGTTGAAACTGGAGGATAAGAGTTACAATGATTTAGCGAAAAGTCATGGATTATATGGGAGTGACACCAAAATCATTGTTCTTAATGTCACAAATTTTAAGAAATCAGTGTATGGAACATCGAATGCATGGTTGGTTGAATTCTACAATAGTTGGTGTGGTGCTTGCCAAAGATTTGCACCTATGTGGAGCAATTTGGCAGCTGATGTTCATGGTAAAAGAAAAAAATTAAAATAATTTAAAATTTTTTATGGAACATATGGTTTCTTACTGCTCATCAACTTTCGTTTACGATTAGTACCTCGGTTAAGACATTTGTTTTTTTTGACAGATTGGAGAGATGTTATTAAAATAGCTGCTTTGGATTGTGCTGATGATGATAATAATCCCTTTTGCCGGGAATATGAAATCATGCACTACCCATCTTTGAGATTCTTTTCAGCAAACTCCAAAGTGGGTATTCTGGGAACTGAAGTAGAAAAGGGAAAAACGGAAGAAGACATACGTCACAATTTGGTTCATTTCTTGAAAAAAGAGCAACTGGAGGGAAGAGGAAGCAATTGGCCTAATATAATTCCATATCGGTAAGTAGTGACATTTCTAAACGAAATCTGAAAATTGATTACTGGAACAAGCATATGAAATTTATTTAGATTGCTTAACTTAACGTAAATACAATGACTACGTTACAAGCAGATATTTTCTTCGAGTGGAGTTTAATTTCTATAAGCTCATAATGTTTTGACTGTTCTATGCCTCTCCAGCAGCTTGTAAGAAAAATTCTCTTTACAGTCCATTCTATTTGAAATAAAACAAGATTGTATAGGTCAGCTATTCTCAATCGTTTTAAACATACTACCCCTTACAGTAGACTAAAAGTTTAATGTATCCCAGCAGAGAAGTTTCCCTAAACAGCAAGTCCTGGTCAAATTGTTCCTTTTTAAAAAAATATTTATGCATTAATAGATGTATATATTAAAGTTTTAAATTTATGTAGTAAATTGTAAGTAAAAAGAAGAAAGCATTCACTTTTCAACTAATTAGCTGATTTCTTACATTTTTGTAGTTTCATGGACACGTGAATATTGTTCACATATCCCTTTCAGACATGGTGAATCCCAGGAAGTATGAATACCACAAATTGAGAACCTCTGATATTGTTGAAATGCATGTTGTTAAATATTTCTTGGATTATACTATTGCACTGAAGTAATGTGGTCACATACTTTGAATATTTTGTTCTGTTGATTAAGGATGTTGTAGGGGAGAACCTAATGTTGTGTTCCTCTTTATAATTCTTTTTATGAAGAGTAGAACATACTTGTTCTACTTAAAATTTTAATGTTTCATTTTTGTTAATATATGTAAGTAGATAGATGAATACATGGGTGACTGCTTCATTATTTTCTTACAAAGGTAATGAATTCATTCTTTTGAATCAAATATTTCTTATTTCATGATAAATTTATTACAAAAGAACCTAAAATATAAATTGTATCACCTGTTTTTTTTCTTGTAAATCATTGATAGTATTTGAACATAATCCTTTCAGTTAGCTCTTGGTTCTTTTTCTTACCATGGTTTTGTGTTTATTCATGTTTAGTTACATCTTTGCAAGCTTTAGCTTGTTAAGTTACAACAATCACATGTGCATTTTTAATGGTTATGAATACTTTTTGGAATGAAGTATGTACATTTTGAAGCATGTGTGGCAAAAAGGGCAAACTGAAGAGACCTATTTCTGTGATTCCAGTTTTTGTGGTTTTATTATTAAACAATATGGTTGATATAAATTATTCTGTTTTAGGAGTAATGATGTTCTAAATCTGTGGAAAAATGTTCCTGAATCTACCCGATTTGCCTTCCTTATTTTTGAAGAGAAAGAGTCATATCTTGGTACAGAAGTTATTTTAGATCTTCATAGCATCAAGAACATACAAATTAGGAGGGTAATAAATGAAAATGAAGCCCTCTGCAAATTGATGGGAGTTTTTACTTTTCCTAGCCTTGTGGTTTTGGAGAGGAGTCAAAATGTGTTTCCACTGAAAGTAGAGGAAAATTCTAGAGTGTTGTTTTGCAAACAAATTAAATCTTTCCTTCAAGAACATAAAGTTTTGTTGCCTGAAAATATAGGCAATCCTATTGCTTACTCATCTTCCACAAAAAGTATTGTATCTACAAAGCAAAGAGAACATTTTGAAAATGCTGTAGAACAGTTTGGTTTAGTTTTTCAAGTAGATTTAGAAAATACTATACAGTATTCACTGAAAAGTGAGATTCCTGTGCGTAAATTTATATCAGGTCACCCTCTTGAAGCATTGAAGAAATATTTGTCTGTTTTGGTGAAGTATTTCCCTACATATGCCAGGGGAAGAATGTTCTTGGAAAAACTTAAATTTAAAGTGCAAGATTTGAGTACTTTGAAAGGGCAGATATTTCTGGAAATAGTTGAGAGTTTAGAGGCAGAGATGAAGCCTGTATTTTCAAACTCTGATGGGTGGTTGGGATGCAAGGGGAGTGAAAAACGCTATCGTGGTTATCCTTGTGGGTTGTGGATCACATTTCACACGTTAACTACTAATGCTGTTATAGAGAATGGAAATGATCCCAATTTTAATAGTCTGGAAGTACTGGAAGCAATGTTGGGATATATAACCCACTTTTTTGGTTGTCAAGAGTGCTCCCGACACTTTCAAGAGATGGCCGAGAAATCAATGCGTCAGAATGTGACCTCTCCAGAGCAGAGTGTCCTCTGGTTATGGAGTGCACACAATATGGTGAACAAGAGGCTTGTGGCTGACCTAAGTGAAGATCCACAGCATCCAAAGGTGCAGTTCCCTACTGAAAAGGCCTGCCCTGCCTGCAGAGGTCCTGACGGAAGGTGGATTACTGAACAGGTTCTTGCATACCTCAAGCAGATGTACAGCCGACACAGCATTGTGCATGTTGGAGTAATGGAAAACCAGCGAGTTGAAAATGTTGCCAAAGCTGATACGTTACATGTACAAGCAAAACTCGTTGGTACAGATATGAATTATAAGATTGGAATGATAGACAAAAAGAGATTGGGTTGGAACTTTAATATATTTGACATCAGTTTGTGTGTTGTTCTATATGCTGGATCAGCTGTAATTTTAATTTTAGTCTTTATTAAGTTCATTGTGCGCAAACGATACCGGAAAAAGGCTTACATTCATGATCTCCTGGGAAAAGTTTAGAGAATGGTGGATTTTTGTGGACTTGTTTGCAAGATGAAGAAATTATTTGTAAATAAAACACACACAATGTGTGAAAAGTTTAAATATGTACCTATATTTTAACATGTCTGTATGAGTTTATTGGGCTACAATCTTCAATGTATTATGAACATAATGTGAGTGTCATATCACAAAGTGTGTAGAACGACTATGCTCTAAATGACAAATATTTGTTGATTATTTAAATTGTGCCGTTCTGCTTTTTTTTGATGATTTTACCTTCTGAATCTGTGACCCTAAATGGCAAGAGAGGAAAGAATTTTAGACAGTGGAGAAAAAATGTGAAGACTTTCATGGATTTCAGTTACCTCACATTTGGTAAACAATTTGGTTTTCATTTGGAAATCATTAGATGGGCTTCCATTTTTATGCTTTCTGTGGAGCACTGTTGTCATTCACATCACACTTCCACTTTGGTAATTGTTTCTGATTTTTAATTCCGTCAAAATGGATTCTTGTGCCTAATTCATAATTATGTGCAAGTTACACTCAGGACTATAAGTTATGCTCCATTTTAATTTGTATTTTGGCATCAAGTCTTGTATTCACTAAGATACATTGCAAATTTGTGAAAATGGTCAGTGTACAGTTATTAAAAAGTTGGTTTCAAAATGAACATTTTTATGTTCGATGTGTAAATAATAATAAAGAGACCAGTGTTGTCTACATAAATACTAGTTTATTAACTTGTTAGTACTATTAGCCTATACACCCTTGTTGACGCAAAGGTCCCCACTGACATATGAAAAATATGATGGTGAAAGATAGGGCACACTCCTCCTCAAAACTTCACTTTGGGTGGTGGAGATGATGGTGGGAAGGGAAGGTTATGATCAGTCCGTGCCCTTTTGTGTAGGGTGCTGCTTGAGTGTAGGCAATGAAGAAATTAGAACCCTCGGCCTACTGATTCTATTAAGGAGGCTTCACAAACTTGCTGATGTTAAACATATCAAGCTATTTTTGACTTTGTGATGGGATAAAAAGCTCAACCTCAAATCACTGCTTTCCTCAATTGTAAGATGCTGCCTTTACATTTACCTCTACAGATGTTAATTTTATTAACTTATGCATTGTTAAATCACGTAGCAATCATTATCAAAGGTAGCTTATGTCACCAGGCAGAATACTGTTTTGTTCAGAAAGAATTGAAAATTGAGCCAGTAACTGCCAGCTTGCTCTGCAGATCGCTATATACAAAGTGCGTAAGTTAATAAACTAATAGATACCTAGACAACCCGGGTGCCTTTATTAATTATATCAATGATATCATCATCTCCAACATCTTCAGTAGAAATTTTCTGTACTTCTCTAATTTTTTTCAAACAAGTTTTTGAAATTAACTTTGAAGGGAACAATAGTGTGCAACAGAAAGCCTTAACTTTTGTTTTTTTTGGAGTTTCTTTGTTCATGTGTGCTATTATCAGTGTTTTTAGCTGATGTCTACAAGACTTGTATCTTCATAAACCTTATATTACTAATTTTGATTATATACATATACTGAATGCGTGTCAACGCTTTTGCTAGATACCAAGGAACTCAGGATGTAAAATATAAAAGCAATGAGCAAGTTTCAATTTTAACTGAAAAATGCAAATATTTGATTTTGTTAATCTGCAATTTCTCTACCTACACACAATTGACATACATTTTGTTTCTACGTTTCTGTCTGAATATTAACAACTTGTTTCTTTAAAATTTTAGCTTGGTGATGAAAAAGATGTATACTTTCATTTAAAGAAGCGAAGTTGTTTCAATTTCTCAAAAATTAGAAATGTTTCAAACTAGAAAATGAAATATGTTATTTCTCTGATCATCTACAATAACTTGGCTCAAACTGCATCTCGATACCTCAAATTATTTCAAAAATATTTGATGGGGCCAACATAGGCAGTCCACCCTGTATAAAATGGTATTTTTATTATGTTTATTATTGAGTTACGTGTCTTCAGAATCTTTCTCTCTTTCCAGTAATTTCCATATATGTTTTCATTGATTTGAATGCAATCCTATTGGCTTGGAATGTAAGGCCGAGGGCAGCAAAATTTGCTACTGCAGGTCTCTAATAACTGAATATTTCCAAATTATAATTGGAAAGATTTTTCTTTACTGGTAACTTTTGTGATTTAGGCTTTGTTAGGCAATTATCAAATGAAAAACTAATTATTGAAATGGAATGTTCTGAAAATAATTCAGTTAAATTTTGTACTATAAAATTGAAATTTGAATTTTATTATGTCCATATCAATTCTTATTTGTACAGAAATGAATGCAACAAGTGGTTAATTGCTCCGGAGGTTCTTGATTGCTTTGAAACACGCATTTGGTTCTTCCTGCATTTCTTTGGAATTTTAATTGAAGAATTCAGCCTCGTTTTCCTTGTGTACTTAACGGGAGGAGTTATTTCAATAATTTTGCCAGAAATGAAGTGTACTGACACTGCATGTTCTACTGCCTTGGAATATTTGTGTCAGCTGATTGGGTTTGTGAGCTATTCAGTGAGTAACATGGCCAGTCAGCTCTTGTTTGTTGGTGAGGGAGGAGAGGGCCTGCAGAGCTTGACAAATTCACAAATCCTTTACTTGACTCATCTGCTTTCCCAGACCCCTTATTTTCTTATCAGTGATTTGTTTATTCAGCACGGAAGTTACATTTTGAATCACAGGCTCCATATAGGAATGTGGAATATGCAGTAGTAATGGGATTGTGAATTATTAAGAATTTTAAACTGACTTTTTCAAGAAAGTTTTAGCCTTAGCCGTAAACTTTTGCGCATGATGAGTAAAAAGTAGAATGACATTTCTTTACGTTGCAATAATATTATTTATTTTTCATGAAAACTCTACATGACTGATGTTAAGAATTTATTTATTTCAATTAATTATCTTATTATAAGTGGCTAATAAAACCAATATATGATCTCTATCCACTCTCTTTGTTGTGCAGAGAGATTTTTTAAAGGTTCTAGTTATACACAATCTATTTGTTCTTAAATAGTTTATTTCACTGTGAAGGCTCATTCTGTTGTATATTTTGTTAATTGTTTAATTTCTAAAGAGAAAAAAAATATATTTATGTTAATGTTATTTCTGACTGTTCAAAGAGCATTTAGGTATATCATAAGTGCAGTGTTTGTTGCTTTGAATTAGTCAGTAATAATAATTTTTCTTTTTCTTTACAATTTAGAATTTTTTGAATACATGTTTATATTGTTATTTTATTATCCTTCTGCCTTTTTTTCTCACTTTCTTCCTTAAAATGTCGATGACTAAGTGCATAATATTTCGTATGTTAATTGTTTAATAGTCTTGTTAATTTAATAAAGGACAAATTAAAAAAAATATGCGATTGACTGTGCTAATTGATTTTATTAGAAGATCAGGTGTTTCTAAACTTCAGAGTTTTGCCATATTATTTCAGGGGATCTTTTAATTGCAGTGGATAAAATATTACAGTATTTATTCTAAGTCTGAATTGATTTTTGCATCAAATATTGGTAAGAATTTTCATATTTCTTATTAGTTATAATGTTAAATATTTCAGTTTGTTGATTTTTGTTAAATGTTTATTATAATTTTATCTTTACTTTTATTTATTTTTTTATTACTGAAAATGTTCAGATTTGTTTTACCTTGCACTTGGCATTAATGCATTCACCTCTTCAATACTTGGAGCATTAGGATACCTTTTAAAATGAACATATAATTGCATTTGATTTCAGAAGTAATATGAAAGGTTAATGAATTGCTATTGAATAGGAGTTCATCCAAGTTGCTTACCTCAACATTGTTTGTTAAGTTAAAGAAAATAGTGGAGAGCTCAGGGATTTTTAAGTTGGAAGGATTTACTTTCCTTTAGATCAGCAATTTTTGTTGTTGCTATTTGTCTTGCCACATTAATTGAATTTCAATACTTCAAATTAAAGTTCTGATTAGGCTGTATGACAAATTTTACTGGTAATCATAAAGAATAATTTACATAAAAAAAATAACAAGTGTAAGGTGTGGAATGAATTATTCTTACCTTTTTCTTCCAAACTTTTTATTTTTTACTAATTATTATGGATATGGTACTTCACATCAGAAACGCAACTTCTCACCAATCGCTGTATGTGTGTGTGTGTGTCAGTGAAAATAGATACCAGTACCTAATTTTGTTGGATTTTATTGTTATATATAACTGTAAATAATTGTGACAGCTGGATTTTCTTGAAGTACAGAATGTATTTGTAATGTGAGAATTTTTTGTGCTGGCTGCTGAAGTGATAACCAGTATTATCTTTCTGGTAGTCTATAGTTAATGCGCAATATTTTAATTGTTTTGTATGTATTCTTGATAAGTTGGATTTACATACTATATGACACTGGAAATTGGAATAAAAATCTTCACTGAGGACTGATTAATTAAAAACAAGTGTACCAATTTTAGTAATTGATTTTTCTTTCTGTTTTTACCTCCATACCTTGCATTTCCCTTTGTTACTTTTATGTCAACTGTTGAGAATACCTGGACAATTAGCTGTTTGTAATAGTTGTGCAGATGTCATGTATTTGATTTACTGTCAAATTGTTTGGCCAATTACGTTTTTTTAAATTGTATTTGGCCAAGTGTTGATTATAAAAAAAAAAAAATTATGTGTAATCTGACAAATTTGCAAGATAATTTTTTGATGAGTTCTCGATGTAGGTCCTGCTCCATGTACTCCATGTGCAAAAACATTCACAACAGCCGTGACCTTTGTCCTTTGGTTCCCATGTCCAATGTGGGGGTAAAATGCAGTTCCACTTCATAAACTTTTAATTACATCTCTAACGTCACTGTCAATTTATTTATATTATAAATTTGAATAAACATTTGTAGATTTTTAGACCTAGAGGTGCTCCAACAGCACTTACTTTCTCACGTTATTGGAAACGATTGTGTTACTGAAATATTATATTTTCTGCCCTACTAACACCTCAGTTATAACTTGGAAAAGTTTAATTAAAGTGAAACATCTATCGTGCAAATCTGCATTTATTTCTATAGACAGGAACAGTAGTCATTTCTTACTTTCACAAGTGAAACAAACGTGAATACATTTAAGAAGGGATTTGCGTCTCATTACTAAAAAATCGAGAATACTTTTTCCAAGTCTCGTTCAGTACAATACAGTTATAAAACAAGCCCAGTGCCCATTAATTATTCGCAATTTTGATCTTCGCCATTCTAAAATTCTTTCCACCACTAACATAACGTAATATTTCTGTACATATTATTAATTTTGTCACTCGCGTCTGATCGCAATGAAGTTCTGAACTTATTCTGACTACCGCGTTCTAACCATCCGCCCGCGCTCGTTATCGGCGCCGCTCATTTTCACCATGCGCAGTATCAGTTTCCAAATTGTTCCTTCGTAAATCTTGCGTCTCCCCCCCCCCCCCCCCCNNNCCCCCCCCCCCCCCCGTTTAGTATCTATGTCTCCGCGATATCCGGTCTCCCCGTAATTTTCTAATTTTAACGATTTGTATGGAATTTCCATAAAAAAACTAATGTACGTCCAAATATTCGTCACCCGAAGATCTTTACATTCTTCGGCCTGTTGTTTTCACAGTTCCTCTAGTTCCGGCGTAGTAAGTAAATAAAATGATTCCCGAATTCCGTCATTTGTTTGTGTAAATATGTCGCCTTTGGGGTCTATTAAAACACTAAATTATTGTTAAGGACGAGTCCGTCTGGATCGCCACAATACGGAATCGTCAAAAACATTAATTTTGAATTTGTAAATTATAATCCCGAAAGCGACATTAATATGATAAACTAGTTTATTTAACTAGGGTAAGATCCCAGGAAGTATGTTGAACATCAAACATATCGGGCATAGAAAAGAGGAGGGTTTAAAGTAAATGAACATTGGTGTAAATATTAGGTTTTTGGCAATAGAATCGAAAAGAACAATATTTAAGGAAAGACAGTTGACGGCACCAAGTTTCGGGATGCAATATATTTTAAGTGAATGAAAGGGAATAAAAAGTGGTAAATGCAGATAAAACATCGAAACATTTTAATTGATTGTAGAGGTAAGTGAGATGACGTTAATATTAAAATGCTATAGTAGTTGACAGGCGAATGCGCAGGCAGTGAAAAGGCTGATGGTAGTCGGACGTGCGAGGTGCTGTCTGACGCCGGTCGCGAATGCGTCGAACCGGACAAAAGCGTAGAGATAAATAAGTGGGCAATGGAAAAGCGAATTAGATATGGAATTTTAATTTTGAGAAATAATATTATCATCCTGGAGGTCAACGGGGTGCCAATGGCGAAGCTGGCATAGTTGCATACAGGGAACTACAAAATCTTTTAAATTAATGAAAAATATGAAGAGGAAAAAAATATGAGAAGGCCCAGAATGTCCTAACAAATAAAACAATATTAAGTTCGACAAGTAAATGGCCATAAGAACGCGCGTATAGTGTGAATGATTTGTTTCCTTTTAGTACTTGCCATACCTTTTTTATTAAATATCTGTTTATAAATATAAATTTATTAAATATTATTATATTATTTTAATAAATATCTGTGAGGATTATCAGCCATAAAAGGAAACTTTTCATAGGCTCTTATTTTGCCAGAAATATTGTGTTGATAACTAATAAAACGGGACATTTCGCAGATTAATGTGGAACGGTTCTCTCACAATTTTGTCATGTAACTTGCATTTTGTAGATAGGCGCGGAGACTCTACTGGAAGTCTCGAATGGAGCAGTCGCCGCCTCCACTGTTGAAGGAGGAAAGAAGGGGGAGCACTGCGCTCTTGTCACCCTCAAGAAGCTGCAATTATCAAGATGACCGTGAATGAGTTGAGGGGCTCACCGACTTCACGAGCGGTTGGCTGCTCTGTTCTTGCTAATCGGGCGGCATTTCTACGCCTGTTTCATATCCGAAAGTGATTTTGTCCCCTGGAAGCCCTTTGTCGTAACCGAGTCCCCGATTTGCTCTTTACGGTTCGAAAGTTCTCAAGCAATGCGAAGAGTGCTTTGAATACATTTGCGAGCCGATGAAATTATTTAACTACTGTTGTATTCAAAAGATGTCTGCTAGAATAGTTTTGATGCTGGTACTAACGAATCTGGCGCTGATTAAGCGAATCACAATTCCACTAAAATACCTCTAATTTTCTGTTCCTCCTCTGTCCGCGGGAGTAGCATTATCGATCCGAAACGCCGCTGCGACGTCACACTTTGTTAGACGTTAATGTTTATTTCCTCTTTTTACTTTCTTGTAAACATACGTATATACGGAGTAGTATACGTAGAATAGGGAAAGTTAAGTAATGCTGCGCGAAAAAACGGCGGGTTTTCGGCCGAAAATAATTCATTGCCGGGCCCTGATAACGAAAAAGTGGATAAATCCAGTTCCTAAATAAAGAAAAATCCTCTAACATGTGGTGTGGCCAGAATCTCTATTTGTGGGTCCTTTATATCGAAAAACCAATCGACGGCAAAACGTCCGTCTGCCGGCTGTAAACGTCCTGTGAATCGGCTAAATCATACGTAGGATTTTTTTCCAAATTGAGAAAAGCCCTGTTCATCTGGCTCGAGTCGAAACTTTCCTATTTTGAAAAACAGGTGTTGATAATGTTATACTCCTGTTCAAAAGTTCCCAACACCAATGGCATTGTGTGTTACCTCCATACGGAATACGAACGGGTCTTATTGCAATGTGAAAATTATAATCGCCATAACAAATATATGCATGTTGTGATGCTAAAGTTGAATTTTCTCACAGTTTCATTTTTAAGCGTTTTTGCGAATATGAATTGACAGCATATTTGCATTGACATCAATGCTAATAGCACAAATGCAGATCGTTCCCAATTAGTTCCGAAAATTCAATCGCAACACCGATTTTCAACAATATTTCATTCTTCCCCGGATTGCCTTAACGATTCCATATTTTTGTCCCCTAATTTTTTTAGACATTAAAACTTCACAAACTCAGTCTAATTTGCGTTCACTTCTACTACTGTAATTGCTCTATTAATCGTTTTGTATCCGAATCTAGCGTTGAATGCAAATCTAACATTAAAAGGCGATTGTTTTGTATCTTTCTATGAATAAGGTTAATAATAATTAGTTAAGTTTAATAAACATAAGTTGTGGGTCACATTCATTTGTAAATCGGTATTTGCACACTTTTGTTGAAACGGTTTAATAAGTTCCAGTTGCAGGTTTTCGCAAATTTATTTTTAATAATACGTTAATTCAAATCTAAATTCAAATCAATCTGCAGTTCGATTTACTTAGTAATTCAAGTGTTCTTTTAAAGATGTCAACATCAATGTTGCCAATGTCATTAAAGAAAATTATGGCGTATTTTGCTGAAAGTTTGTTTGGGTACGGGTGTTTAACCTTTTAAATACGAATGGGAAAGAGGTTTCCCAGAGCATTTCGACCCAGCCGTACGAATGGGAAACTTTTGGCTTGACCTCCAGAGGCGCGCGTCGGCTCTTGTCTATCGCTTGCTGACGGATGGCAAGCCGCGGTGCTCCGATTCTCACGCATCGGAGCTCCGGCCTACGCAATCGGGCAGGGATGTGTTGATGGAGTACGGTCTTCCGGCAGAAAGAGCGAGCGTGGGCTCCTCTGATGTTTCTTGCTTTTACAGTTCCCGCAGCTCGTGAGACATATTGATCGCCAGTCAACCTTCCTTTGGAGACGCCATTCCAATATAATAATAATAATAATAATAAATAATCATAATAATAATAAATAATCATAATAATAATAAATAATCATAATAATAATAATATCACATACCACACTAAGAACAGAATAAATGATTTATGTTTTCATTTTATATAGGAATTTGGGTGTCGCATGGCATATAATATAACATCCACTAATTAGTTCAATAATATATTACGTTAATTCCATTGGTAATAATTCAATTCTGCCAGAAATAATTTTTTCTACAGTAGGAGGTAACAATGGGGTAAACTCATGTTTATAGCAATGCAATAAATTTATTTATTTTATATTTTGTTATGTATTGTTTTGTATTATTTTCAATGTCTTAATAGTTTATTGTTTTAATATAAGCCATCGTCCTGGTGCTATACAAATATCTCTTCAGCCTAACAGAGCTTCTCTTTTGTTAGGGCGCCTTCTTCTTTAGTCCCTTGTACTTACATGTAACGCTTCACTGTGTACCTCCTCCCGTCCCTCACCATAGTCCCAACAAACCCGCCTTGGCCCACGCTTCTCATGGGCGATCGCAGTCGCGTTTTGCTTTCGCTAAATATTCTAAATATAAAGGCATTGTTAACATGAAATGCAACGTTGTGCAGACGGGGAGGGTGGCGTAAAGAATGAAAAAAAGTAAAAACAAACAGAAAGAGGACCACTTATTCGGTATCAGGGGACCCCAAATCGTGTATTTCCGTTGAAATCTCTAAATAGATTTTCCGCTGCATGATATTACTTTCTCTATACTATGTATATTGCTCCGTATATATGAGTACGTATACGAAAAAGT